ACTGTCGTAGCTTTTTGTTTTGCTTTAGTTTTTTCTTTGTGACCCACTGAGCTTAACCAGGGCTGTTCTCATGGGCATTGGTATGATATTATCCACTGGAGCATCACCAATTGTCACACCACAGAAGATAATGACTTCATCTCCACCAGCAGCCCTCAACTGCCATTCACTTCCCTGGGTGGGGCTAGCCCCTGTGAGTCCTTCTCCCGTCTGTGAGTGAATGTTTAGAGGCTCAGTCTTTTACAGACCCTAGGTAGGCAATTCTGACTGCTGTGAATTCATGAGTGCTGTGACCATGCCATGCCTGGAAGACAGCATTTCATGGCTCTCCTCCTCTTCGTCTTGCTCTTAAATTCTTTCTACGCTCTCTTTTGAGATGCTCCCTGAGCTTTGCAGTTTAAGTCTGAGCACTCAACAGTCACTTGTTCTCAGCACTTTGATCAACCACGAACTTGGATGAACAGCCATTTGCTGCAGACAGAAGCTTCTTGGATCAAGGCTGAGGGTAGCACTAGTCTATGAGTATAAACATGAATATTTAGGAGGCAGCTTGATAACATGTTCACTCCTAGCACCTATGACCACCCCAGGCATGGGCCTTTGACTACTTCCACAGTATTGAGCATGAAATCCTTCCTGTGAAGTGAGTCTCAGATCCACTCAGGAATCAGTTTGTTAACCCGAAAGTTATGTCATTATTGCATTAACAGGCACACCTTGTAATTTAAAATTTATTTAACCCATACTCTCTCCGTGTTAGAATGACAGGTGTGCACCACCATGCTGGGTTTATGTGGTCCTGGAGTTTGAACCCAAGGCTTCATGCATGCTACAAACACCAACTAAGTTATATCTCCGAGCCTAACGTTCCTTAAAACTGCTTCAGCACCACGATCTCTCCAGGGAGACATAACACCTATAATCCCCTGACTCAAGTCTGAGCTTTTGGCTATGTGATCCTGTACCCCATATAATTCTTTCTTTTGTAATCCTTACAGTGTGCCCTGATAGGTGTTTAATATTTGTCTTCCTCAATAGACTAGCTAAGTCAGACAAAATTTTGCCTTATCCATTTGCTGCATGCTGCTCTATCCAGCATACTGTGAGTACCCCTCAGTCATCGGTTCAGTTGACCTAGCTCTCCAAGGAATTAACTTAAATGTCTGCTTTCATACCCAGATAAGAGCAAGCACACACTGCGCTGTCCCATTCCTTTTCTTCTAGAAGGTTCTCTTTTAATATGCTTAGCTGCAACCTTGCCTTCCGGCTAAAATATGGCAGCCCCTTCCTCTACCACCAGAAATTCTTCTCCAGCCTGCTCTGTGCTGGAAGTGGTACACGCACAATTTCCTGGCTGCGCATGATGCCATACTGATGACAGTTCTTATTTTTTTAAAGCAATGCTTCTTTCCATGTGTCTGCTCCCAGCCAAGGCTGTTTGATGAGAATCTAATGTTAATTTGAAACATGTGGTACTCTCAGGCATCTCAAAAGCCTGCCATAGGAAAATTGGTCCTCACAGAAGGATTTTCTCATCCTTGCAGAGTCTAGCTTGTATTGCTATAGGAGAGAAGAGAACTGAGAAGACAGCCCATCCTGTGTGGTGCTGCCCCCCTCCTTCTTCTTCTTCTTCCGCCTCCTCTTTCCTCCTCCTCTTCCAAAAGAGTTCAAGAACTCTTGGTCCACTACAGCAGCCTCAGGGTGCCTGGATCACAGGTGTCCCATCATATGTTGTGGCTTTCACCCCCTCAGGACACTCCTGTGAAACTCAGGACTCCAATCTGTGGAAAGCCCAGCCCTTCAAGTTACTGAGCTTCTTGTGGAACCAGAGAGGATTGATGTTTTACAGCTGACAGGAAGAGGTGCAAAGGCACCACCACCAGGTGAGTCAGAGGGAGGGGACATTTCACAAATGCTCTTTCAGTGGGTGATTCTGGATTTTTTCTGATTTTTACCACTGAGCATGCCTGCCTCTAACTCCTTCACCAGAGATGGTGTGCTCTCTGGTGGAAAATGTGAAGCACACCAGTATGATGATCTGTTTAACTTCAAGTGAACCCTATAGTGACAACAGTGGTTGGTGACTTTTGTCTAAATTGTGAAAATGTACAAATACATTGTGATATGGTAACAAGTATCTGTACACTAATCCTTAAATGTAAGTCTAGTGTGTTAGGAATTCCTTTGTCTGCAAGCATGAATTTGTAGCAGTGCTCTCACATTTTGATGTACATGAGAATTATCAGGGAAATGTGGTCCCTAGCCTTACCGCCAGAGGTCCTAGTTCAGCAGGAATTGGATATGGCCATATGGCCAGGAATTTGCGTATTTCAAAGAGCCCAAATAAGGTTGACCTGTGTGACTTGGATTTTCATAAATGCTGGACTGACATTTAAGAGTGTAGGCTTAAACAAAGTCCAGATAGGAGCCAGTTGGTACAGCCCCTGCCAGGAAGTTCCTTACCCACTTACAGCCTCAGTCACACATCTGTAAAAAGGCAATCACACCAAATCCACAGGGTGGTTTTAAAAAAGGAGGCCCTAATATGAAGAGCTTGGTACAGAATTTGATCATCGCACATGCCCAGCAGGTTAAAGTTCTGACTGTTTATTCATCTTAATGAGCTACAGAGCTAGAGAAACCAAAGGACGCTTGGCCTTTTTGGACCAAACCGCCATTAAATCCTCGATCTCTGCACCACTTCCCACGATAAACAACTGCTGACCACACTTGGACCTTATAAAAGAATGATCACCTCCCTGCTGGGAAACTGCTGAAGCTGTGAAACGCCCTAGATAAAAAAGAGCTTCAACATCGAGACTCTAAGGACAGGGCAGTGTGTTTTTTTAAGCATCTTTGAATGCCCCAGGTTCAAGGGCAGAGGAGAAGTTGAAGTCAGTAACTGCATTTCTGAAATAACCTTGGTCTTCGCATCTAATGGCTAATAATATAAGCTATCTCCAGGTAGCTCTGAGAAACAGAGACAAAGTGTTGAAAACCCTTTGTGTGATGATTGACACGACTTGTCCTTAGAAAGTATTATGTTTCTTCCCTTCCTTTTGGTGTAAATATATCTACAGCTTTATTTTTGAGACAGATATTGATCAAAAGAAGGGAAAGATACGATTTGGGTGCATAGTAAAAATTTTGTATCCTAAAAAACTGTATTTTTTGTTTACTCCCAAGATAAAAGTGCCACTGCTATACAACTATAGTTTGTTGTGCTGGTCATTGTTGTAGTTATTAGGATTTAAAGCTGGGGTTGGACAATTACTTGATTTTTTCCCTTAGCAGCTTACATAGTATCCTCTATAACTGTGACAGCTAGTCTTTAGGGAGGAGGCTTCCTGGTCAGTTTCAGCTCCATTGCTCCAAGTCCGGTGTCCTAAGTATGTCCTGTCTTCAGCAACAGAGTAATCAACAACTATCTAATTGGACTTAAAGTTTTCTTAATGGGGGGAAAACACATGACTGGAGAGGTCATAGATCCTAGAGAAAACCCTACCTCTGTTATGTCCTTACTTACAAATGTAATTTCTTACTGTATGCTAAATACAGATCCTTATATTTACAGACAAGTATGCCATTCACCACTCATCAGAGAAGCTTCTTTTTGCAACAGATTGAGACTATTATGGAGTTCCACAACTAGTCATGTCACACACAGAGAATAGGTGACTGAGAGATTCCCAGCCTTAAGTGACACTTCTACAATGGAAGCTCTATACCTAAGGTTTACAGAACACAGTGGAACAGGGTGTAGAGATTACTAATGCATCTCTCAACTCTCACCAGTGAAGTTTCCTCATGCAACAGAGGGCAATGAACACAGAAGGCCACAGTTGGCCAAGGTGTAGAGAATAAGAGACTGCAGACAGTATGTCCCTGGATATGACTCCTATATTAAACCTCACCCACCCATGGCTCAGGGACCATTGCAGAAGACAGATTGTAGGAGCCAAAGTTGGCGCATGATCATAAGGAAACAGAATCTTCCAGGCCTCCAGGAACTTGCTCATATGAACTTACAACAATGGTGTTAGCATACACAAGACCCATGCAAACTCAATCAGACAAAAACTTGGTATAGAACTGGGGAAATGGGCAGCAGGCACCAACCGTAGTCAAAGAACTATTGGCAACTGATTATTGCTGGATGAGGGACAGTTGATCTTTTTAATGAAGAGACTCTAGATAGGCTGACTAGACTCCAGTGGATGAATTTGCACTGAGGGACGTCTGGGGACACAAACTTGACTCAATGGGCCTTAACATATATGACAGAATGCATGAAATTCTGGGGGGTACGGAGGGTGCGAATGAGGGAGGGGTGTAAAGATGATTAAGATATTTTGTATGAAATGCAAAAAAGTTAATAAAAATATACGTTGAAAAGGTATGTTTTTTAAAAGCAAAAACTCAAAAGTTATACCTTCTTAAACATACAAGGTATAATATAAAGTATGTACATTTTAAAAGTCACACCTTCTATATTAAAAGTCACACATGCATATTCTTGTATAAATGTGTGCACTTTAATACAAAAGACATGAATTTAATAAAATAAATTTCTGAATTTCAAATATATGTAAAATTGTTGATTTTACCAGTTGGGCTGCCAGTTTATATAGTCACTCAGAAAGTTGTGAAGTCACTCTAGATTTTTCTATTGACTTTTGACTTTTTTTGGTGTTTTTGAGACAGGGTCTCCCTGTAACCCCAGCTGGCCTGGAACTCACAGAGATCAGCCTGCCTCTGCCTCCCGAGTGCTCTATTGACATTTTTAATGTAGTATATGTAGTATATAAATCTCCTGTGTGTTCTCAAATTCTTCCTGTTTGCAATATTTAAGTGAAGCTGTTGAAGTACTTTTGCCCATTGCCTAGGAACCTGTCATCTTGATTGTGTTGCATTCTTCTTCAACCACGAGAGGGAGCCAACCTGTAACGGGTGAGGTCCACCTAGGAGAAGTGACCCCAGTTGATAGGCCAGGCTAGACATTACCGGTAGCATATGTCAGATTTATTTTTTAAAAAACATGAGCAACGAGTCAGAGCTTTAGCTAGGAATGGCTTGGAAAGGTACTGAAGGCACTGATCCACAAAACATTCACAGTTGTGTGCTAGAGACAGAGAGCAGGAAGGTGACTTAGAAACATTTGCGGTGGACAATGGAGGGGCCAGCTTCATCGTACTCCTGTTTGCTGATCCACATCTGCTGGAAGGTAGACAGAGAGGCCAGGATGGAGCCGCCAATCCAGACAGAGTACTTGCGCTCCGGCGGGGCAATTATCTGTTGGTAATAAAGAGCGTTAGTGTCAGGGGGAAGTGCCTCATGTCAGCATTTCCTGGAAAGCCAGGACACTCTTCCCACTAGGATGATGGGTTATTGAAGAGCCTGTGGGTCTTGACATGTCTTAGTGAGCACATTAATTTTTCTGGTTTCATTCATGCTATCTATGCTAAACCATTCCTAATTCCCTTATTTCATCATTCGGCAAAAATGAAGTGGCCTGGATCATGAGCCGCTCTTGCGTAAGAGCCCTGACAAAGCCTCTGATACCAGGCATGTGCCTCGGAGCTCAGTACGCAGGTGCTTTCTGTGGAAACAAGCACTGGGGTGTGCAGAGATGTTTGAATTGTGCTAGAGTTAATTGTGCAAATGTCCCTGATTAACTTGGCTGCTACCTTCTGAAATCCCACCCACCTGCACGGTCTGCCATGGAGGCCTGAGTCTCCCCCTCTTAGGATGAATATTCCTCTGAGTTGACTGGACTAATTTGGAGCATAAGGCCTGAAGTGGAGGGCATGCTCACATTTCTTCAGCAAATGAGTGGTTTAGGTGCAGAGTGTGGAGCATCGGGCCAGGGTCCGATCCACCACAGTAACTAAAAAGCTACTTAGAGCTGAGCAACAGCCAGTTCTACTCCAGCCTTAGTTTCTGGTAGCAATGAACACTCTAGTCAACAAAGTGTTTCTGAAGTGCCAATAAAGGCTTTACTTTCTGTTTAGCCTCAAGTGCTGGTTCAACATCCATTTTTTCCTCAATGAGAAGAACTGGCAATAACTAAACTCTCACTATGTGTCAGTTCTGTGCTAAGCATTTTACACATATCAGCTTATTTAGTTCCCATAGTCACTTTGAAGAGTAAGTAGTTAATGCATCTTGTGTCCCATGCAAGGAGAAAGGCTGAAGGAAGTTATCAGTAGCTGTGACAAGTATCAGTATCAGTGTCAGGTCCAGTTTCAAAGCAGGGCCTTCACAGGAGTTTTGTTTTATTTTGACTGTGGGTTTTTTTTGGGGGGGGGCGGGGGTAGATAACTGTAAATTTCTAGAATGTTGCAAATACAGTACAGGGAGTTCCCAAACATTTCCCTCATCCAAGTTCCTTCCCTGAATGTGTAATCCTGGTGTCCCAGGTTCTAATGGCTTTCTGTATTATCTTACCATACTGGGCCCCAAAGTTTCACAATCATTGCCATTTAAGAAGTAAAGTTTGGAGAACTGAGAATTTCCTAACTCTTACTACATACAGCCTGTCTGTAGGTTTCAACTGGGTTTCCTGTGAAGCACACTCACAGCTAATTGCATCCCCTCCCTCCAGTGTGGGGAGTGAGAGGGGTATGAGCTGGTCAGTCACGCATCCAAGGCCCTCCAGAAAGCAGTTGCTCCCAGCTCATTCTGCAGTCTCACAGGGCAGGATTTCATGTAGGGTGTGTGTGTTTACATCTATCTCACTTTCACACACCCTTTGCAAACAACAGAGAACTTTCTTGGCTGCCTTGCATGCTTGTGACCAAGTGTTCCTTCTCTCGTTTCTTGTGACATGAGTCAGAAGATCTTAGTGTGGACTTCTGATGATTTCAGAGAGTGGTGACGAGAAGTCACCAGCCACAGGTAGCCATGGGAGTGATCTCCATTTAATCTCCGAGTTCCCTTACTTGGGACCCCAAATGTATATAATACAGGGACCCTGAGTGCTAGGAATCCCAGGTAGCCCAGAGACTGAGGCAAGTCATGTTAGAGCCATTTTGTGTGTTTGGGTGTCAGCATTGAAAGGTGTGTCAGAGAAGACAGAGCTGAGGAAAGAACATTCATTTTCCTACTGCGGTGCAGTCATATTTAGCAGTAGAGTAATGCAAGTTGCTATAACTGGAGGGTTTGAACTGCTGCAGCAATGTCTGGCTCAGCTGTACTTTTTTAAATGTTCTACGTGTGAGATGCACTGTTTCTGTGATGATAAGAAACAAAATGTTCTGAAGAGATAAGGGCTCTGGGGAGTCTGTTAGTCTTGACAGCAGCTGCTGAAAGTAGCTGATGGGTGAAGATAAGTATGGATCAAATTTTACGTAAAGTATTACAGATTCTCTTGGGAACCAACTGACTTATGTATAAAGTATGAGATGTGACTTTTTACAGACTGCTTGGCCCTGGAAGCCATGAGGACGTATGACCTCAAAGAGTTCTTCACATGTAGTGCTGACACACTGGTGGTACAACCATTGGGCCTGTCCACTGAACAGTACCTTGATCTTCATGGTGCTGGGTGCGAGGGCTGTAATTTCCTTCTGCATCCTGTCAGCAATTCCTGGATACATGGTGGTGCCCCCTGAGAGGACGTTGTTAGCATAGAGGTCCTTCCTGATGTCAATGTCACACTTCATGATGCTGTTATAGGTGGTTTCATGGATGCCAGCTGACTCCATGCCTGGAAAAGAGACACAATCCGTAGTGCTTAGGTGTTGGGAAAACTCAGGTTGAACATGGAAGATGAGGCTGGAGGAACTAGATTATACTAGGTGGGACTGGCAGGCCTAATAATCTAGGAACTACCATCCTAAAGTCCAAAGAGACTTGTTAGATTCATGCCCTATGTCTAATGAGGAGCTTGACTGCAGTAGTTTCCAGGTGAGGTGACCACATGCTAGCACCAATTCTTCTATAGACCCTGCTGTGTATGGTTCAAATAAGGGGCAAGGCTATCAGACTGCTTGTAAAGGGCAGGGCCAGGGTCACAGCCATTGCTCAGAACACTCCATGGCTCTGAATCTCTCCATGACAGCTGTCTCCTACAGCCAAGATCAAATAGCAGAATCATCAGAAAGCTGTTTCACCTCTTTCTCCTCTGTAGACAAGGGCTCTTCTTACTTTTTCAATCCTGATAAACATTTTTTGGCCTGAATTTCTTGTTGCAGACTTTTTATAATAAATCTCTAGTTCGTACCTTATCGTTTTCAGTACTGTGATCTAGTTAGACTAATAATAACACCACCTCACTGTTAATGCTGACAATATCTAATTGCTGCATGCTTGTTCTGCCTGGATCCTGGCCTCACGGCACTGCACACCTCATGCAATCCTTCCAGCCATCTTACTTTAGATGTACTATTACAGTCTTTGTTTTATCCAGGAGGAAGCTGAGGCTTGGGGAGGTTAAGTGATGTTCTCAAGATCATGAAAATAGAGCAACGTCTCAAACCAGACCCCGAACCCCTAGACCCCTTCTTTATTCCAATTTCCACATACGCTAGAAAACATGCCATACTTATCTTTGTGAGCCTGGCTTATTTCACTTAACCTAATGATCCCCAGTTCTACCCACTTTCCTAATAATGATATAATCTTGCTCTTTTTGAAAGCTGAATAAAACTCCACTGTGGTACATACCACATTGCCTTTACCATTCATCCATCAATGGGCACCTAGGCTGACTTCATAACTTAGTAATACACACATGCATGATATCTCTGAGGTATACTGACTGGTTCCTTTGGGTCTAGACCCACAAGAAGTATGCTGAAATGCACACAGGGCAGCCTTCCAGAGTCAAGGGGATCACAGGGGAGATGCCCTCTACACCCTCACTCCTTGGTTTTTCTCATCCCTCACTATTCCCAATTTCGCAGCACACCTGTTGTTTTACCCAACCGTTCCTTGGCTCCACTGTATCCCAAACATAGATAATGTTTAGTTTTTACATTATGGAGCTGGAGAGAAGGCTCAGTGGTTAAGAGCACTGATGGTTCTTGCAGAAGACCTGAGTTCAAATCTCAGCACCCACATGACAGCTAACAACTGTCTGTGACTCCAGTTCCAGGGGATCTGACAGCCTCTTCTGTTCTTTGTAGTCACTGCACGACATAGGTGCACTTACCTACATGCAGGAAATACACGCATATACATTAAATATAAATAATAAATAAAACAAAAAAATTACATTATACATCAATAATGCTTTTTGATTAACTACAAAATATGAGACTTTGCCTAGGAGGTCAACTCCTTGCCTGGCTTCCTGCCTTCTAATTTTGAAAATGTGGTACTTTCCCGTCCCTGGTTTACAAATGGTTTTGGTCTTAAAGCCTTGATTTTCTATTTGCAAATGGGGAATTGCAGCCAAGGCCTGGCTGAGAATAGGGTGACTTCCCTCTCCATTGCCTACCAATGAAAGATGGCTGGAAGAGGGTCTCTGGGCAGCGGAAGCGTTCATTCCCAATGGTGATCACCTGCCCATCAGGCAGCTCGTAGCTCTTCTCCAGGGATGAGGAGGAGGCAGCAGTGGCCATCTCATTTTCAAAATCCAGAGCTACATAGCAGAGCTTCTCCTTGATGTCACGGACAATCTCACGCTCAGCTGTCAAGCAGATACAAACATCATGGCACACATTAGGGTTTATGTAGAGGCTAAAACCCCACTCTCCTGCCTAATCAGCTCCTCAGGGGCCCCAGAGTTTTCAGAAAGCCTCAAATATTCATGTTGCCTTGACCAAGTAGATGTCAGCTCAGTTTTTGACACTTATCATTTATTATTGCTTTTCAGAAAGAAGCAGGTGCTCATTCAAGACAGCCCCAGTCCCAAAGCCTCCAGTAGCACATGTGGGAGGGGATATGAAAGAAGTGGGTGCCTGCCATTCAGACTCCTGTGCTTTGAGCTTCTAAGGTACTGGCTACACCTGGGCCCTGCTAGCCTTTTGGTGGTATTTTGGGGGAATAAGAATGGAATTAATTCAGTATCATATCAGAAAAAAAGGCTGTAACATTTGTCTGGGCTGAAACATGGAGCCTAGAATTAGCTTCAAGCATATCCAGAAACCTAAAATTTAGAAAATTGCTGATTTGTGAGGATTGTTCAGGCAATTAGAGCCATGGGAACTGAGGGAGCACTGGTAGTTCTAAGTGTCCTAACACTTGTTAAGGGAGAGGGAATGCCACCAGCTTTGATGAAGACACATGAACATTACTGCTTGTTATTACTCTGTGTTAATAATAGCTAACAATTATTGAATGTTACTCTATGCTGAGTGTTCAACAGCATTATAGATTTTCATACTCACAATAATCATGGGAAGTAGAATCTATGATTATGATCATCTTACAGATAAAGTGACTATAGCTTAGCAGTGTTGGTTAACATGTCCAAAGTCACACAGCTAGTAGGTGACAATTGGGACTCAGGTCCTATTTAGATGTCTCCAAAGATTGCCAATCATCACCCTTTTTCTATCCTCACACTTCCTTTTCTCTTTGTGAATGCAGTGATTAAAAAATATCCAAGAAGGGATGGGGCTGGGACTGGGGTTCAGTGGTAGAGTGCTTGTCCATCTAGCATATGCAAGGTCCTGGATTGGATCTCTAGCACCATAAACACAAGTATATTCACTCCAAGTTGCTCACAACATTAATGTCTAAGAAATCACATAGAAAGAAAAGCTGTTCTTTGCTCTATGCATTGGAGTCAGGTCTTGCTGTAGGCAAATCTCTATCCCATCATTTCTATTTGTTCATTATTTTAAAATTTTAGTTATTTTTATTAGTGTGTGTGTGTGTGTGTGTGTATGTATGTGTTTATGAGAGAAGACACACATGTAGAAGTCAGAAGGCAACTTTTAGGAGTCAGTTTTCTCCTTCCACTCTGGGTTCTGGAGATCAAACTTAGATGATCAGGCTTGCACAGCAAGCACTTTTGCACACCGAGCCATCTCGCTGGCCCCATCACCTCATTTAATGGTGACAGTAGTCCTTCCTGTAACTTATAGTGAGCACCATGCTGTCCTCCACCCACTTCCTTCGGCCTCCTCTGTGTCTTACCAGTAGTCACAAAGGAGTAGCCACGCTCAGTCAGGATCTTCATGAGGTAGTCGGTGAGATCTCTGCCAGCCAAGTCCAGACGCATGATGGCATGGGGCAGAGCATAGCCCTCATATATGGGTACATTGTGTGTTACACCATCTCCTGAGTCCAGCACAATACCTGGGGGACAATTGAGTAGATACAAATCACCATGGCAGCTAGTGCATAGTTATTTGCTAGTTTTGTAGAAGGGAGTACTTTGGGGAGGAGCAATTCCTTAGCTTCTTATATGGAAAGAAGAAAGAATGCATTTGATAGGAGAGGTGAGGTGAGACAGGGCTTGGAGAAGAGCAGGAAGAGGGAAACCATTAAGAAAAAAAAAAAAGCCCTGCTAGAGATAAGAGGTACACGGCTGATTCTCAAAAGGCAAGAAGATCTTTTAGGGCTGGGATCATCCTTGTCAATTCTAACTCGCCTGCAATTGATCACAACCCACATGTTTATAGCCATCATATCTCACATTTGTGGTGTATTCAGTTGGTTAAGGTTCTTTTCATCTGGCTACCTACCAGTTGTACGTCCAGAGGCATACAGGGACAGCACAGCCTGAATAGCCACATACATGGCTGGGACATTGAAGGTCTCAAACATAATCTGTAAAGAAAGAGCTAAGTGAATGGTGTTACAAATATCAGTGTTACAAATAACATTTAGGAACACACCACATTGCTAGATTCAGACTGGTCCTTGGCATAGGAGACCAAGGGAAAGGAGGCCAAGCGGCCCTGGCCACATAAAAAGAACAAAGATGGCAATAGAAAAGCCATCACATTGATGACCTTATGGGAGGGAAAGGGAGACAGCAATGTGTACTGCACACAGGACCTGGCAGAGTAAAGAGCAACTAGCTGTTGGCCCTGGTCGTGGCCCTGACTTGAATAGGAAAGTATTCACTACAGTGGGAATCAACTAGCATACATTTTTCCCCCTGATCTCTTAAATGTAAATAGAAGAGATTTAGACTAAGTGAGTTCTCAGGGGGACAATGTAAAAATTATTAACTATATCAAAGACAAAAGAAAAAGAAAAGACACCATTCAAGTAGCAGAAATAAATAAACCTACCTAATGCACAGACTGGTTGGGAATAACCCTGGTTGTGTGATCTGTCTTGGGTTCAATTTAATCTGTTCCACATTTTATGCAATTTTGAGTCAATGTTAGCTCTGGAATTAGATCGCTCTGGGTGTGGTAGGAGGGCTCTGGTCCTGGCAGACAGGACCTACATTCTGGAATAAATGGCCACATACAAATGCCAATGCACTAACTCACACAACCCAGGGAAAAGATTAAAACCAGGGCCCTTTAGGTCACTCATGTATCAAAGGATGTCTGTCCCCAGGCTTTCATTTTTTGTAATACCCTACCTACTCTATGAACCAGAATTAATATCTGATTTTTTTCTAGAGAGTCATAATTCTCAATCATTTCTCTCCCTTCAAGACTAATGATTTACTAGAAACAGCACTTTTTGTGAGGTAGAATGATTCCCAGAGCAGCCGGTGTGCTGGTATAAGCATCAAATGCTCTTCCAAAGAAGAGGCCTTGCAGTGTGTACATTTGTGATTCTTCAGAGAGAAAAGACCATGGGCCAACTCCAGGCACCGCATTTCCTAACTATGTGACTTTAAGAAAATCATTTAGTGCATCTGAGCCTTAATTTCTTCATTTAAATAATCAAGATAATAATAGTTCCTATTGCAGATGATTGGGAATTAAAAAGTGCACCTAAAATGTTCCTCAGTGCTTGACCAGGGCGTGTGTGGAACTGACATTAGATGTTATTATTTAATAGCTCACCCAAACTAGAACTTTCTGTTCTGGATTGCCTCTGACTGCATGGTCTTGAGCTTCACACAGACAGTAATAACTGTAATTGCCATGACTTGTTGGATCAGGTACATTTATGCTAGCATTGTTTTTGCATCATTAGTCTACACGCCAATTCTTTGAAAAACTATAACAGTTCTATTCCCAACAAACAAAGAAACGGAGGCTCTCTGAAATTACATGGGCTTTTTACTAATAATTCTCAGATCCAGTTTTCCAACCTAAACGTATCTGACTCCAGAACCCAAATTCCTACTACAGGTATACTGCTTTTGAAATGACTTGGAGAAGTGTCTAAAGCTAAATATGTCCCTGTCTCAATTAAAACTTTTAACTTTCCTCTTGGAGGCAAAATGCGTTTTGCAGTAAGGATGTGAGCACCATAAAGATTTCTCTGCCCTTTGGTATCCTTGAGCTCTTGGAAAGGAATCCGTCTGTTGGCGACTGCTAGTTAAAGCCTTCTCGCCACTGTCTTGTATAGTTTTATTCTAATCAGACTTGTTCATAATCCAATGGAATTGGATGGTAGAGCAAACATTTACCTGGGTCATTTTCTCCCGATTGGCCTTGGGGTTGAGGGGAGCCTCCGTGAGCAGGGTCGGATGCTCTTCAGGGGCAACGCGAAGCTCATTGTAGAAGGAGTGGTGCCAGATCTAGAGAGGAAAGGAAAGAGAGACACAGTGATGAGCTGTTGTGGGGAGCTGCGGATCCTGAAAACAGAGCCGAACCGGCAGAACAAAACCAAGATCAGATGAAATCAAGTCCTCAACTGCTCAGTGTGGAGACTGAAGCTCAGAAAATGCAAACGCTAAACGCAAGGATTCCTATCCAATGTGTGACTGAGAAAAAAACCTGAACCCAAGTCTGTGAGGTGGGATGGTGTGGTCAAGGGCACAGACTCTGCAGTCAGACATGGCTTCAAACCTCGGCTGAACCACCTCCTGGTTGCACAAACTTAGCAAGTTCTTAGTTCTTTCTTTTTTAAATTTTTATTTATTTATTTTTATTTTATGTGTATGAGTGTTATGCCTTAATGTGTGTAAGTGCACCCATGTTGTGCAATGTCCACAGAGGACAGAAGCAGGTACTGTATCCCCTGGAACTGGAATTATAGGTTGGCCGCCATGTGGGTGACAGGATTCTGGTCCTCTGCAAGAAAAGCCAGTGCTCTTAACTGCTGAGCCATCTCTCCAGCCCAATTCTTTTCAGCTCTAGTCTCACCATTGGTAAAATAGAGAAGAAAATAATTAGTATGTACCTCATTGGTTCCTTATGTGAATTAAATAAAATAACCCTTGGGTAACTAGTCAACCCAGTGCTTGTCCAGAATAAATGTTATCATTAGTTTATTCATGGGAAAATGATTTAGGTTAATAAATAAAAGGACACATGAATGAATAAATGAAACTGACCTGAACACCCATTGCCATGTTGAATGCTTCTAGAGAGAAACTGTTCTTTACAGTGTGTGTGTGTGTGTGTGTGTGTGTGTGTGTCTAAGAGCAGAGCAGACTCTGCTTCCCTCTGCATTTTTGCTCACTAGAGCTGAGAAAAGCAACTTCTACTGACATGCCTTCGGGGCAGACATTGGCCTTCAGACATTTCCAAAGCTATCCACCCCTGTCTGTGTGCAGTGTTTATATAAATGTACTGTGGATAAAGTACACAGAACTTTAAGCTACAGCTTTGTAGCTGAGCACCCTCTTTAATTCCTAGATATCAAAGAGAACACACTATCATAAAGAAAGGCTAAAAGAATTAATTTTTAAAAGAATTACAGCACTAGAAATATATTTACCCAGAACTAAAACAAAATTAAACAAGAATGGCTGATGATGATTTACAAATTAACAAAGGCAAATCAATTGTAAAGGCTTTGTCTTGCTTCAGATTGCTTGTTTCTGAGTTTGTAGTTTCTAGGAAGGAAAGGAGACATCAAAAAGTTCTGCTCCTTTGACAAAGAAAAGTGAGGTAGGTGCTGAGCAGTTGCTAGCTTACTCATAAACAGTAAGGATCTATGGATAATTACTCCTTAATACTGTCGCCTTTTTTACTAACTAGATAATTAATTGAATAAACACACTCTTTAAATTGAAACAAAACAAAACAAAACAAAAAAGCATATTCCTCAAGAAATCCAGTCACTCATATGTTATACACTGTAGTTACCCTGAAACAGGCTTTAAAACCCCACCAGTTCTCCCACACTCCCTTCCTCCCTCACTCTCCTTCTCCTTGTCTCTACAATATACTTTGAATTTAAATGTTAGAAGTGCAGGGTTTTTTTTTTTCCCATTCCAATAATCTCGCTCTAGGAACATCCATGCTGCAATGCTGTTGGTTCCATGGAGAGACTACCAAAGAACACTTTTCCCATGGTGACAATTTCATCCCCATAGTGCAAACCTGAGGCCCACAGGCCAGCCAGAGCTATGGATGAGCAGCTCTTGTAGAGATACAGAAGCTTAAGCATTGTTATCAATAAATTCTAGCAACACTACATGTGTGTGGTTTTTAAAACTCTGTGTGTGTGTGTGTGTGTGTGTGTGTGTGTGTGTGTGTGTGTTTTGCTGAAAATTGAGAGGTTTTCCATAAAAGGTCAGATGTAGAAAACTGAGAGGTTTTATATAAAAGGTCAGATGTTGCAGTTTTAATAATTTTGATACATCAAAAATTATATCATTTTATCATCATTCCTTCAGTGTTATCTCAGGTCACTGGTGTTTCTAAAATGACTAATAGCTAACTCTATAGTCCTTGGATTGAAGTCTTCTTTCCATTATCTCTTTTATAATGGTCTACAAAAAAAGGTCTTACTCAATATAATATAGAAAACATTTTTTTAAAATTCATTAAAATTGTCAGGTATAAAAATAGAAAAAAGAACATAAATTTTCAGTTATGATTGCATTTCAGCATGCTAGAGGGCATTCAAGGATGTTCCAAATCCACAGTGGTACCCTCTTCTTTTCAACTGTGAGAAGAAAAACTGTTCATGGTGAATCTATAAAAATCAACCAAGAATGGGCTGGCTAAGCCTCCCCCCAGAGCTTCAGCTCCTCCTTGGCTCAGTTGCACTGGTCGAGTGGGCAGTCACTCAGTCCCTGATGAGAGGCAGAGTGAGGCCATGATGTCCTTGTGATGCTTATCCTCAGATGTAACAGGAAATCAGGTCCCACACTAGCAAAGGGCTTCTCTCATCTACAAGAACTATGTCCCTCCAGTTACTTTATAACCACCAACAGTCAAGGGGTTCATTTTCAAGAGAAATATATCAAGGCTTTTAAAGTGAGTAATAATCCAAATTAAATATTAACAAATAAAAGTGAAATGGAGTGACGAGAGCCAGCTGTTTTCTACTGCAGTCACGTGCTGTTCTGAACCAGGGACATAGACTTATGTGTCCTGAAGATTCAATCTGCACAAAGTTCTCAGTACCTTTTCCATGTCATCCCAGTTGGTGATGATGCCGTGCTCTATTGGGTACTTCAAGGTCAGGATTCCTCTTTTGCTCTGTGCTTCGTCTCCCACATAGCTGTCTTTTTGTCCCATTCCCACCATCACTCCCTAGGAAGGTTCAACATATCACATTGATTATTTATTCGACAGCTAACAGGTATAAAGTTGACTTCACTGCTAATACTTTCTTTCACCTAAGACCAAGCTGTACAAGGCTGGGTGATCTGGGCTTTTGTTTTCATTTCTTTCCAAAAAGTAGCAATGATATACATCAAGACAACCCACAACTCTCTCTGCTGCTGCTGCTGGTGTGAACAAGGATAATGATACCATAGCTATATCTAGATAAAAGGCACACACACACACACACACACACACACACACACACACACACACACATATATATATATGGGACAGGCTTTCCCTTATTTATAACTGCCAAATAATCTGTCTGCTTGATATGTGAAATTACCATTTACTCCTAGGTATCAATCATCACCAGTGTGAGTGTGTGTGAGTGTGTGTGTGTATATGTGTGTGTGTGTGCTTATGTGTGTGCCTTGTACATGTTAGGTGCATTCTCTATACTGGGTTATATCCCAGAACATCACAGATATATTTTTAACAGGGTTAGGTAAATTCTGGGCAGAAAGCAACAATCTGTGGAGATACATGGATACAGAAGAATCTAACCTATAGTCCTGTTCTCTCTCTGTTCAATGAGAATCTGGCTTACCTGATGTCTGGGACGTCCCACAATGGATGGGAAAACAGCCCTGGGAGCATCATCACCAGCAAAGCCGGCCTTACAGAGCCCAGAGCCATTGTCACACACCAGGGCAGTGCTGTCCTCTTCTTCACACATAGCTGGAGCAGCTTCCCTGGGTTCTACAGAAACAGGGGAGAAGCAGCCCTTGCTGTAACAGACAGCCCCAGCATTTACCTGCCCACTCCCAACCACAGACTGAGGTCTCTGTTTTTTTAGCTGGAGGCTCTTCCCAAATCTCAGCTAACACATTCTTTGTCTTGAACCACTTTCACTATGCAGTAAAGCCTTTGATAAACTGAAACTCTGACTTCTAAGTTAACACCACTGGTCCTCAGCACAGTGGGTGTCATGTCTCTTATGGCACTTTAAAGTCAGACTGAGGAAGAATGAACAAACTGTAGGGCAGAGATGGGCACTCCAAGCTATGAGACAAGATTTCCCCAGGGACAAGGAGATTAGTGCTAAAGAACTATCTATATATTTTTTCTGTCTATAATAAACCACACTCACATTTTTTTCTAAATATAAAGTGGTTTTCTCTCTCTCTCTCTCTCTCTCTCTCTCTCTCTCTCTCTCTCTCTCTCTCTCTCCACAGAAGGTTGATTTTGAGAGTTGAGCAGCATGTAAAAATTTGGAAATGTTAAAATTCCAGTTTAATGTAATGTTTAAGAGGAAAATCCTTTAGGAGCTTTTACACTTAGAGAAACATTAAAAACAAAGCAAGACCCACAATCCTAGCACTTGAGAGGCTGAGGCAGAGGATCATGAGTTTGAAGCCAGCCTCAGCTACATAACAAGAGCTATCTTTAAAAAATTAAATTGAAATTTTCTAAGAAGGTACTTAAAATTATAATTTTTCTTCACTATTAAGCTAAAAAAATCCAACAATAAGCTAGCATAATAGACTAAGGGGTCAGAGAAAGTAACAATATGATCCCATTAAAATGCATTTTATACAAAAAGTTACTTATTCTTATCAAGGTAATGACTAGGGATTTTTTAAAGTGGTAAGTTCTGGTTTTGCAGGTGTTTGTCAGTTTCATCCCTGAGCTCTGCATTTTTTAAACAATTTTTAATTGATTTTTTTGTGCTTTTCAGACAATATAGTTTGCTGTCATTTAGATTCACTCTCCCCTCCACACTCCCCTCCACTGCCCCCACCCAACTTAATGAACTCTCATATATATAATATGGCCTATAGAGTATGATTTGAATCCCTGAATGTCCTTCAGTGTAGATCCATACTTGATAAATTGAGCATGTCTCTTTTGGTTTTAAAACAAAATTATAAGTAGCCAACATTTAAGCTTGGCTTTTTAACAAAACTTAGAAGCTTGAAGCAGAAGTATTGATTTACAAGTTTTGGAAATTCATAAGCCTCCAGTAAAATGACTCTGTCATCTAAGTCTCTCATTTTTACAAATGAGAAAGTCCAGGGAAGTGATTTGTATACACTAGGCTACATTCCACACTGAACATCAAGGCTGAAAACAGGACATTTAGAATGCTCTCTGAAAATGTGAAAGGTTAACCCGAATAGCTTTTTTGTTGGGCAGGCATGGTTTATACTTGTGTTTGATTATATTCAGAAAAAGTAAGCTAATCCACAGTATCAGTAAAAATGCAGGAAAAAAAACCTCTCAAAATTCAGTAAAAATGTAGTTATATTTCACCAAAAAAAAATGTCCCGGGAACTTCTTTTAGTAAACTCTAAAAGGAAGAGAAGAGTCTGTGTATTCCCAGAGGGAGCTGGCTCTGTGGTTTACAGCTTCTTATCTAACCTGAATGAGCAGCTTAGTTTGGAGCAAAGCATTTCCTAATTAGGTAAAACATACTGGCTCCAGTGTTTGTTTTTGGAACTGCACCCGGGTCAGGGAGTTTGCTGCAGTGAAGTAGACTGCATCTCCTGCCAAAAATGAGTTGTTAGCGGGAGGGGTGGTTAGGGGAGGAGGAAAGGACGGTATGGTTCTCAGCTTGTGGGTCTTGAAACGCAAACCATATTTAGTCATGAAGCACAAAATGGGAGGAAAATCTCAGCATGAAAACTCCAGTCCCTGCAGAAGCTGCCAAGCCCCGAGTTACGTCCATTCAGCCTGAGGTAGCAAGGCTAGCTCCACAATGACTCTGGCCTCACTGGGCTGAGGGGAGCTAGAGGCTGGGAGAAATGCAAGCCAGACCTCCCCTGGCTGAGTTGTCAGATGCAAGCTCCACTCCTTCTTTCCTTTGCACAAAGTCTAGAAGTTGGTTTTCTACTGTGAATGACCAATGACGCAGGTCCTAACAAGTGAAGACACAGGTACGCTCAAGAGACACATAATTCCAACATAGGACGTTAGCTGTTAGAGCCAAGAAGACCCAGAAGCAATATACACATCCAGTAAAAATCATCATATACACATTCAGTCTAAATCAAAGACCAGACAACTGTCCCCACTAATTTCTGACATCCACTCCCAGTCACTTCAGCTGCACTAAAAATACTGTCTGATGACGTCTCCACACTAAATAAAAACCATAAGCAAATTCCGAAGTTCCCAGTGCCCAAATAGAAATAAATGAATAATTTGCCATATACAGCTAGACTTCACCCCACAACAGGCTGCTGGATCTGGGCTGCTGGCTTAGTATAAACAGATTTTTACAGACAACATGCATGAACAGAATTTCATTCCATCTCCCTTTCCACCTTCTACATCAAATCGAGCTGCATTTTAGCCTTGTTTTCAATGTTAAATCATAAGAACTAAAAGCTACAATTATTTTAATAGTAGAAATCTTTATTCAAAAATTAAAGAATGCACAAGCCATCCAAATCCCCACAGGCAATGTCTGGTTATATTGGGTAATAAAAGAGCCTCTGGAATCTCTAAGTCACATCCCTGGGTTGGTGCCACTTACCCTGATGGTGCCTGGCTGGGCTTCTCTACTCTGGGTGGGTGGTATCCAGGGAAGCTGAACAGTGAAGGGTTATATAGCCCCTTGGTCTGCTCCCCTCCCACTTGCTTCCCAAACAAGGAGCAAAGACAGGCTGGAGCTAGCTGTTCAGTCTAACACAGCCATATAGGGACCTCAGCACAAAACTCTCTAATCTGGGTGGCCAGAGGCCTGGGTCTCTTCCACTGCATTCCTCTGCTCTGCTCATGAAACAGGAGGCAGCTCAGCTGCCTATGGGAGATAAACATCTAGAGCTTTCAGGACAACTGTTGAAATGCCCAGAGACACTGGGTTAACGTCATGAGGCAGATGCAGGCATGGTTTGTACATTCCTCAGAAGATGCCAGCCTGCAGTCAAGCTGGCCTTTTAGGCCATTTCCTAGGGAACTGAGAGCAGAAAGGGCCTGCCTCTGACTAGCTTAGAGTTTTAAACAATGCTCTTACAAAGATAGCCTGTAATGAAAGATATTATTTTAGTCACACATAAATATGTAGAGGGTGCGATGATTTTATGGAACTGACACTGTTTAAAATAAGTGAGTATTATTTATGGAAATAGGAATTAAAGCAGACAGATAGGATCCATATTTCCCAAAGACGAACTTAGAAGTCAGCATCTCTATAACTGCTATAACCCTTGGACATATTGTGTCTGTCTGATAATTTGTCACTGAGCCTTAAAGGCATGATTAGGGGCCATCGTTTAGCCATAGAGATGACTGGGAACCCTGTCATAAAATAACGAGAAAGAATCATGCTGAAATGAATCCTCCTAATCCTCCTCTAACATGAGAACTTTAGACAAAATAGAGATCAAGTGGCTCTGCCATTTCTCAAAATCATCAGTCTCAAACATCACTGCACAGCTTCAGTAACATTACATTTTTCTATTCCCTCCTCCAAGGCAAGATTCTGATTCAATTCATAACAGAAATACTTTTGATGGATGCCATGAGGGTTTTCTGAACTACTGACACATGAGAGAAATCCCGGGATGAATGGCATCATTCTGCAGTAGCTACCAGCTGTTGGCTCATGTTATCATGCCTATTGTATTTGATTTGTGGTGTGCACATATGCACATGCATATTTATCTTTAGGAATTACATCCTGATCTTTAGAAAAAGCCAAATATCTTAGAGCTAAATCATAATAGGATTTCTCTGTTGTTCAGGATTTTTCTAACCTATGTCTAATTTCTATCAACCAGAAAATAGTTGTCTGAATGTTCAAATACAGGGACTACATGGTGTGACATAGAGTTGAGTGCTTGGGATTAATCTAATAGTTTTCATCATAGGTATATGTAAAGCAAAAATTTCACAGTTTATTTTCAGTCCCAGGAAGGGATCTCTGTATTGATGCATAATTTCAGTAACTGTATGGCTTGGCTAGGCCTATAAATACAGGAGAAGAATTTGAATAAAATGATTCTTTTTTGATATTTTATTTATTATTTTTATTTTATGTGTATGAGTGTATTGCCTGCATGTATATAAGTGCACCCGTGTGTGCAATGCCTGGGGAGGTCAGATCTCCTGGAACTGGAGTTATGGACATTTGTTACCTATCTTGTGGGTGCTGGGAACTGAACCTGGATCTTCTGCAAGAGCAACCAGCGCTCTTAACCACAGAGCAATTTGTCCAACTCTGGTAAAATGTTTCTTTTTTAAAAGACTTTATTTATTATTTTTATTTTATGTGTATGAGTGTATTGCTTGCATGTAGGTAAGTGCACCCATGTCATGCAGTGTCTGCAGAGGACAGAAGAGGCTGTCAGATCCCCTGGAATTGGAATTATGGACCATTGTTAGCTATCATATGAATGCTGGGATTTGAACCCAGGTCTTCTGCAAGAAGAACCAGTGTTCTTAACCGCTGAGCCATCTCTCCAGCCAGGATAAAATGATTTTTACATCACATAGTTGTGTGTGTGTCAGTAATCAGAATATTATGACAAAAAGAAATAATAAAATAGGATTCAAGGTTTTGTTTTTTGGTAATTAAAAAAAAAAACCTATGAAACTAACCAAGGAAAATCTATAACTGAAAATACATTAAAGGTTTCATTGTGTGAGCCTGAAATTTTATATTCAGCCCAAGTTTCATCATTGAGGAAAGCATACTGTGTGAGTATGTGTACAAGGAAAGCTCCACTTGAGTGCCCAGATATCTCCTGGGGCTGACAGCCATGAACCCAAGGAGTTACGGAGTGATTAGAGAAACAGCAGCATCTGCTCACTTGGTTGCGGTTCAGGGAAACTGCAAAATAAATCCAGCTACAAGCATACATCCAAGAATCATCTCTAGATGTGTTGCTCTACAAACATCACACATCATCTTAGTACTGTGATTTAGTCATGATTTACTGTTCAGCCCTTGAGGACTAAGGACCATTTTAATCCTCAATGGGGCCCAGTCCAGAGCTGCGTAAGCAAGGGTGCTCACTAGACAATGAGGGAAATGTTCACTGTCAGCATGGTCTGATGCAGTAGCCATTGGCCATATGTAACTTTTGACCACTGAAGTGTATGTAGGAATTGAAGTTTTTATTTCACTCAATCTTTGTTTTTCTGTGTGTGTGCATGCCTATGTGGATGCATGTTTGCGTGTGTGTGAGCATACCTATGTGGGTACTGGTGTGCATGTGGAAGTAAGTTGGTGTTACTATATTCCTTGGTCCTCTCCAACTCATATACTGAGACACAGTTCCTCACTTGAACCCAGAGCTAGCCAACTTGTTCCAGGGATCCCTTGTCTTTGCATTCAGTGTGTTGGGATTACAGGAGGGCTACCACACCCATCAGCTTTTATGTGGGTGTTGGGGATCCTAACTCCAGTCCTCATGTTGAATAGCAAGCATTTTACCCAATGAGGCATCTCTCCAGTCCCCTACCTTATTTAATCTTAATTCAATTTTGTGTTAAATAGACTACCATATTAGAATTTATACATAAGGTAAGTTTTAAACTTGGCTGCAGCTCAAACTACCCAAAAGGCCTTGAAAAATTGCATTGCCCTGGCTACTACTGGACCAATAAAACAGAACACTTAACGCCAGGACCCAGGTGTCTAATTCATCACCAAGGGTGAGAATTTTCAGAGTAGCACAGGTTTTTCCAAGGAAAGCTCAATCTGTGTCAGAGTCGATAGGAGACTTTGCTAATGGTGCACAAAGCTGGCATCCCTCACCTCAAACACTTCCTGAATCGTAATCACTGACTCGCTGACCTCAATTTCCTTAAACTTTTCATTTTAGAATACCATATCTTTTTTCATTTACAGAAAAGTGAAGACAGAACAGAGTACTCCCATCCACCCTACATCCATTTCCTCTATCACCGAAATCATCACTGCTGTACATTTGTCACAGTTGAACCAGTGTCCATAGGTTATTGGTGAACTAGAAGTTTGCTACATTTGGTCCTATCACCTGAAGATCCTTTTGGCTCCTGCAGTCTTAGGAAGTATTTTTAAAGACCTCAACGGTTTTGAGGAATAGAGAAATGTTTGATAAAATATGCCTCATTTTGAATTTGTCTGATTTCTCCCCACCCTCACGATTAAACTGAGGTTATATTTTGCAGGTCCTTGTAACTTCATATTAAGAGAACAGGTTATAAGGGCTGAAGAGATGGCTCAATCTGTTAAGAGCATTGGCTGCTCATGCAAAGGACACAGGTTCAAATCCCAACACTCACATGGCAGCTAACAATCATCCAGAACTGTCAAGATAACTAGCAATCCGATGTTCATATTAACTGACTGGTCTTCCTTTACTGTAAAGGTGCCCATCTACCATCTATCAAGCTATTGCAAAGAGTACTCTGCATGGAAGCCATCATGTGAAACCATATTTAAAGAATGGGGAGCTGTACACTACCTCCTCAGGGATATATATATATGTATATATATATTTTTTGAAAAGATCTTCAATGATTGTTATCCATACCAAAATCTGAGAATTGCTCATACAAATGGCTGAAGGGTCAAAAACCACGTGAAACCTTGGGATTTCTAGTTGACTCTGATTCTTTGAGTGTAAATGACACCATGAATGGGTGTGTTTTCTGGACTTCTGAGGAGACTGACAGTCATCTATTTAGTCTACAAACCAAGCCATGGATCCTCTAGACACCAAATAATGAAAGAACACAAAATTGTTGATATTACCACTATCACGTGTTTTGAAGTTGGAGCCTAGCATTTCAAAGGAGAAAAAAGATACCACAAAGATATATATCATGCTTTGGATACTGGAGGAAAAACTAAAGAAGAGAAAGTATCACCTGAAAAAACTGGATATATGGTGGAGGGAAAGCTCTGAGGATATATACAGCTATGTGCAGAGGACCACCAGAGCCACGAGTAGTCCACGGCACTTCAGAGCCATGATGTTATAATCCACAATGACAAACTGAACAGTTTGTAACAGACACTCACTGTGATAGCTAATCCTGGGTGTCAACTTGATTGGATCTGGGTTTAACTGAAATGAAAGAGATCTTCTAGATTGGAACATCTAAAGCCGGAAGACACACCCTAAATGTGGGCGTTACCTTCTGATAGCAGCCTGTATAAAAGACCAAGGTAGAGCAGAACGCCAGGCTTTTTGCTGCTTGCCTTCTCTCTCGCTGGTGAGTTCGTCTTGCTGCTGTAGACTGAAGACTAGCTGATCTTTTGGAATTTGTCAGACCTTCAGCTCCAGATTGGGACTACTGAGACATCCAGGCTTGTGGACTGAGCGACTATGGATTCTCAGCCTCTCCAGTGTGCTGCGGCCATTGTTGGACTACTCAGACTATCCTGTGAGCTAAGCTGATAAATATCTATACATATTCATTCTACCGGTTCTGTTTCTTTGGAGAACCCTGACTAATACACTCACTAAACATATAGCATTAAGCATGATATCAGTAGACTCATTTTAAAAATTAGATACCTGTGACTGACAGGGTTTAAGACGCTCCCTTTGAGTCATAGCCAGTCACAGTGAATAACAGGTGCAAGAGTTAGACCTGGTTCTGTATGAATTTTAGACTAGAGGTTAAGGCAAAGGAGATGGCCAGATGCATTCATAGAGGAGCACGTCATCATCAAAAATATCTGGGTGACGCA